GTAGCTACACGACCTTAAGTTCGTCACGCATCACGCTTGGCTGGTCTTGCGAACTTAGGACAGTGTTTGTCACTCATCACAAGGGTTTTTGGACCTCAATATGTGACAAAAAAAGTAGAACGGCTATGGGTCTGTTATCTAAGTGTGTCATGCTTTCAAACATTTAACTGGTGTTTAGTAAACCTCTAATAGCTACGAAGAAACCCGAATGCGTCCACAATGACCATACTCATGCTGCGGGAGTAAAATATCGAGCCCTCCCTGAAGATACTAAGGTACATTGAGTTTAAGTCGTTTTAAGTTGGGTATTAAGGAGGCACAACGAGTGTACGGTTATGGCACCATGGTTAGAGTGCTGTAAAGACACTTACTGGGCAAATGAGAATCCAGTGCTTATGACCAACAGGCGACAGTCTTCCATGGCAATAGAGTTCACGTTCTTGAAGCTGTAGAATGTCATGATTTGGCTGCTACTCGTCACTGGGACAACAATATTATCACGGCTCTGTGGGCTAATGACTTAAAAATTGTAGATTCCACCGGTTCAGTCAAGCTCGAGCCCGAAACCTGCGTGGTCGGAAACCTTTTTGGGACGTCACGCAGGGTGGGTGAAAACCCTTAGTTCAAGGTCACGCGTTAGCCAGACATTTGAACTATCGTCTAGGCTGAACTTGATTCTCGTCACATGTCACGCAAATTTCTTTTGAACTTAAGGTCGTGTAGCTACAGTATATCATAAAAATATGTGCAGAAGGATTTAGTATAAGCGATACCCCAGGTCTAAGTTGGAGGAAAACGAGGTGCCCAACGCTTCAGCTGCAATGACAACGCCATCAGCTCCGTAGGGAAAACGGAAGCCACGAGAAAATAAACTCACGAAGATGAAGTGCTCAGAGGGCGGTCTCAGCCTGGTCAACCGGGTTACCGTAAGGTTCATCACCGTACTGACGGCGGAGGCCGACGTTCTCGTCGTCTGCGGGGTTACCGACGTAAGGCTCGTCGCCATACTGACGGCGGACATTAGGGGTAGAGTCGCCAGTGACCTCCGTGACCGTCGAGTTCTTGGGATCCGCGACGCTGGAGGGATCGACCGGGACTTGACGCAGGGCAAGGTTGACGTCCGCGCCATTGGCGACATTCTTGACCTTGACGTCAGCGTTGTCGGCAGCGGTGGTGTCGCGGTGGTTGATGTTGAGCGCGTCGACATTGGCGTCATTAGCGATGTCATGGGCATTGGTGTTCAGATCGTCGGCAGCGCTGACGTCGCGGTGGTTGACGTTGAGAGCTTTGACACTGGCATCGTCGGCAACGTCCTCGGCCTTCGCATCCAGGCCGTCCGCAGCGCTGATGTCATGGCGGCGGCTGGCGTTCAAGGCATTGACGTTGGGATCGTTAGCGGCATCCCCGACCTTGGCGTTGAGGTTGTCAGCGGCGCTGACGTCGCGACGGTGGTTGACATTGAGAGCGTCGACATGAGCGTCGTTGGCAACATCCTCGGCGTCCGCATCGAGCCCATTACCGGCGTTAAGATCGCGGTGGTGAACATCGAGCGCATTGGTGTTGGTGCCGTTGGCAGCGTTCTGGGCGTCCGCATTGAGGTTGTCAGCGGCGCTGACGTCGCCCAGCCGGCGAAGCACCCCGGACTTGGCTTCGTCCGCAGCGCTCTTGACATCCTCGTTGAGTACGCCAGCAGCGCCGATGCCATTGCGGCTGTTTAGGAGCTTCGCACCGGCGCCGTTACCGATGTTCTTGACGTCAGCATGGGCACAGTCGGCAGCGCTAACATCGCCAGCCTGCGGAGAACAATGACGTGAGGAACGGCACCACCATGAGAGTGACTGGTAATCACTGACCGTAACGGGGAGGGCGGAGGCGAAGCCAGCAACAGCGAGAACAAGAGCAAGGGTGATGAAAGAACGCATCGTGTGAGAGAACGTAAGTGAGGACGACGAAACGGGTGCGAGGGGCGCGAACGAAGGAATGAGAACTGAGAGCTCGGAATCGAAAGGGAGACATGGCCAGATTATATCTTTCCTCGCTTATGGCTTTACATAACAGAACAAAACACCGTCGCCAGTCGATGGGGTGGCTTCGCGCAGAATGGAGTGCGAAGGTCTTCGACGGCGACTCAGCCGTAGCAGCCCTTCGGCTGCGACACGTCAGCTTGAGGGTAATATTAGCACCCACATTCAGCGAAGACGGAGCTCGCATCATACCTCATAGACTATCACTTAGAATGGCACTGCCGAAAGGCAACCCTCCAAAAGTCGACGAGGTCTGCTACCCTCTTCCAGAGCGCTCCTTGCTTGGACATGTTCTGTGACGTAAGTTTGCAGAGATTAGGTATCATGCTCATGATGTGTCGAGCAGTGAACTCGGGGTCTTCAGTAATAGACCGCGTGACATCCCAAGAGGTTAGTGTTCTACTACAGACGTGAAGTGGCGACGTGTCACATTCGGCGTTGGGGATATTTTGCGCGTCCACCGCAAGAGAGAGGTGCATCAAGCGAGGGTAATGCCGCAAGAGAAGTCCCACACTTTGCAATGTAGCGGAGAGCTTTCGCTCGGACGAGTGCAGGCACAGGCTCAGCAGGTGGGGGAATGTAAGTAAGACAAAGTGGTCGTTATGAAAAGGCAAGGTCCCCATCGTTAAGGTCAGGTGCTTGAGTTCGTGGAATTTGTTGAGGGACTGTAGAGAACTGCTTTCGAAATCTTTGCATTCGCGTGGTATCGTCAGATCAATACTAGAAACTGTATCTGGCAGCTTTGTGGCGAGAGAGATCAAAGCTTGGTCAACATCTAGAGATGAGATGTCTGCAACGCCCACAATTATCCCTGTGAAGGACGTGACAGTGTCCAAGTGGAGGAAGCAGCGCATGATGTCCTCGACTTGACGTGCATAACACCTGATGCTGAAGTGACTAAGATTGGAAAGGGATATGGCTGGCGAAGGCGTATGGTTCATTTGGTCCCTAGTAGACACAGAGAGTGAGAGACGTTCTAGGGAATGCAAGCTCCGGAGGGCTGATAGCAAGCCGGCTTGGGAAGTTGCATCACCAGGAAGAAAGACGTCGAATACTCTCAACTGTCGAAATCCATGGACCGCTTCTGTCAGGAAGGGTGTCATTAGGACGCGAGCCTCCGAGACAGGCTTTAGATCGAGCGATTGAAGCGCTGGACTTGACTGACTGGCTAGCAAAATGATGGGCAACGATGAAGAATCAACGTTCGATAAGTGTAGATGAGAAAGGGCTGGACCGAACGACAGTTTGGCTGCTAGCAAAGAGAATGGTGAATCTGAGCCAGTACGTCGTGCTATATAGGAAATGTGGATGTGACGAAGTTGAGGAAAGAGCGAGACGCCACAGTAGATGGAAACCATAATGAGTACCTCCGAATCGATAGCAATGTCGTCCCCGCCTAAAATATCCAGACTGTGAACACGACGGGCGTAACCCTCCAGGATGAGCCAGTCACTGCGACGCATTGCACGCAGAAAAGACAGGATCTTTTGAGTGTCAAGTACCCCTCTATGATCAGCTCTCTTGTGAAAGTCAGTGAAATATCCTCGCAAAACTTTGGATTAGTACGTACTTTGACTTTGTCCTCAATCTTCCATAGGTCCGGCGGCAGGCACATAAAGAGGTGGGCGAGAGAACGTAACTCATAATATAGTGCGTCCAGAGCGGGCTCCTTGAAAGCCTTGCATGTAGAGGCGAGTGAGGCTAAGTCCTTCCTGAACGATTTCTGTCTCCGAAAAGTGACTATCATCGAGTTGGGTTCGATCAACATCGCACAAATTAACGATGTCAATTCCGAGACCTGGAAACAAGGATGCATGGCTAAGCGATGTTGAGGCGATGTGAAGAGGCTGGATGCGATAAGGAATGGAGCTCTAGAGAACTGTGGTTCGACAAAATGGTACGATGGGACCTGGATGCAAGCAGGGAATGTCGTTAGGACGCGATAAGAGCGAGAGGGGTTGCACGTTATGAGCGAGAGTGAGGTGTCGCGACGTGATGCGTGCGCGTGACCAGCCATCTGTCTCAGCCTACTTCTTCCCACCTCCCACTGCATACCACAGAGCCTAGGACCCGCTACCACTCAAGAATATGCACGTTGGACCTCATAAGAGACGCTTACACCCTTTTCATTCCTATCAACTCTTTCCTCACGTCGATCATCGGCACGCCTGGTTGCGAGTCCGGTGACTGACCGGGACCTCCGAACTTTCTGGGACTTGACCTCAGCCAGTCCACTACCGTTTCTATCCCTCCCGGCTAGCCAGCTGTGCTCGTCCCACTCCCTTGTCTAGCTGATGTCTTCGCGAACCGCTGAGTGCGACCCCTTCAGGCTCCTTTTCCGTTTCTCGGACGGTAGGTCCCACAATCTTTCCAAAGTCTCCTAGAATTGAGACGTCCCTTCATCCAGATATACGAAAGAAACGCTACCTATTGGGACTAAGCCTCGCTCCGACTCTGTCCGTCTTCGCCTCTGGTTCTCTCGAGCCCATCATCTTTCGGGCCTATAAACGTTCGGCCCCCTATCGGCAGTCGTAAATGATCATTCATCACCTCTAGCCCTACTATAATACAACGCCTGACGTATGACGTCTGAGTAGGTTCTGTTGCGGATGGTGCAGCCAACCGAAGACACGCAACGCTCGTACGACATTGGTCGCGTATGTCACAAGGCGAGGGCGCATTGCGAGATGGATTATGTTATATTCCGGCGTCAGTGAGAGGGGAGTGTTGGAAGAGGGACGTCAGTCGGGAAAGATAACGTGTCGCCCCCAGATGTACGACCTCCCACCTTTACACTCAACCTATAAGTTGGATCTTTTTTTTGTTCTCTCTTTTTTTCAGGTATGGAATTCCAAGCTATTACCCAATACCACTGGTATGTCAGACAACGTCTAGGGTAGGGCTTGTTTGTTCTATAGCGCGTGGCGAGGCCGATCACAACTCGTCGTGGTTTCATGGGTGTATGCGCATCGCGTCACTGCGACACGATCGCGAACGGCGCCCTTCATCATGGTCAACAGCACCCTTCAACATTTTCTGTATTGCGGCCATCCAATATACCAGAGAAATACCCTTCACTCATATTACCGCCAGGTACCTGATCATGCCTGAACTCGACCGATGGGGTGTAAGCAGATGAAATAGGCTGCTAAGCTATCGCCCAGGGCGGCCTATAGCTGAGCGCCCATTATGCAGAACACGACAGCAGAATATGTGCTAGCTCCCTGCATTCGCTTCCTAATATATATGAATCTACGGCTATCCAAGCACCGTTCGTCTCGAACTCCCATCAAGCGTCCTGTAGAGCCTTCTGATGGCGCTGTGAGACGCTCCTCCAAAATGCGAGCAAGGTCTCCACCTTTTTCCAAGGCTTATCTAATCCCATTTCGATGCATGTCAGCGTTCGGACGCAGGGCATCATACTCGTGATATGCCGCGCAACGAACTCAGCATCGTCAATCAGAGAAGTGTCGAGGTTCCAGGAGGTGAGTGTGGTGCAGCAGACGTCTACTGGTGAAGCATCGCATAGTTGATTCGCAGCGACAAGAGCATTGACAGCCAGTGTGAGGTGCTTAAGGGAGGGGCAATTTCGCAGCAAGAGGCCTACTCCGCGGAGGGTGGGCATGAAGGCAGGGTTCCGCCTAAGAGGACCTCTCCCGTGCAAGTAAAGGCGCAGAAGATGGGGGAACTCGAGCGCAGCCAGTTCTTGATCCGGAAAGTGTGAGTTGGACGACACCGTGAGGTTTCGCAGATTGCGGAACTTGAGAAGTGGCTGTAGCGATAACAGCTTCTCGCGCTTGGCAAAAGAGAACTCCATGGTCCGAAAACGATCGGGAAGCGCTGAAGTCAACTCTGTCAATGCCTGGGACATGTCCGTAGCTTCCAAATCACCAGAACAGCCCAGCCGAATAGATACGAGGCTGTCTCGGTTTTGGAAACAGCTAAAGACGGCTGCTATGTCAGTTGGATGACCTGTCAAATCGATGTGTCTCAACTTGGGCAGGATTACGGTCGGTAGTGACACTATGCCTGGCCTCCGTTGTCTCGAATGAGCCTGCGGGTTTTGTATGACTACAGAGAGCGATTCAAGAGAGACAAATTTTCCTATGGCCGAGAACAATGATGCATTTGGTGCCGAAGCGATGTTAGGAAACGGGATTGCGAGTTCCTTCAGATGCCTCAGCTTTGCGGCCGCTCCTGAGAGAAGGGCAGGTAGTTCGTTGGAAAGGTTTTTAGGAGAGACGATTGATAGTGTGTGCAGCGCGGGAGAGGCGTTGCTGGCGAGAATGATGACGTGAAAGAGATTCGCATTCAGGCGTTCCAGCTTCAACTCCCCTAACAGTGGCCCGATACATAGTTTGAAGAGCAGAGACAGAGCTGGCTTCATGGCTTGTGGAGGATCATATATGTGAAGAGAGCGTAGCCGGGGAAGGAAAACTGAGTCGCAGTCGCAGTAACTAGCTATAGCACCAAGGACGTCATGGCCAACAAGCACATTATCCGCAAGACTAATCTTTAAGTTCTGAACTCGACGGGCGTAATTCTTTATAATGAGCCAATCGCTGGGCAGCATCGCGCGCTTGAAGTGCAGGACTGATTCAAGGACCCCAAGGTCTGGATGCTACGAGTAATAATGTAAGTGCGTTCCCTCATCGCAGACGAGTAGACGCTTACCGAATCTGTGACCTCAACAGTCCATAGGTCCTGGGGCAAACACCAAAATAGGTGCGCGAAGGAGCGTGGCTGGCTGTAAAGTTTATCAAGTGCCGGCTCCGCGAACAGTTTGCAGGTAGTCGCAAGTGCCACTAGGGTGCGTGAGTCCCTAGAGGTGTTGAGAGCCGAGCATATTGTCGTTATCAATTCGGGGACGCAAAGACACGGGTGCATGGCCATACGAGAGAGAAGGCGGAGAAAAAAGACGGGGGGAGATAAACGCCTTTTAAGCACCAGACGACGGCTAGATGGACGGAAACAATGATTGTGGTCCACAGTGGACAAAAGATGGGCAACCACAAAAGCGCGTCACGGTCCGAGCACACGCGGCCACCACACTCGTCACCTCGACTACGCTTTGACTCGACGCTTTGACTGGTGCTCGAGCACTTATCGCCTTCTCCCGGAGAATGGATGCAACCCGGAATCAAAACCTCCAATCTGTACGCATTGGTCGACGAGTAACACCTCGGCGCTCAGCAGCCAGTGATCTTCAATGACGGCATCATGTAAAACGTACTTGTGAAAGCGACGTAACGGTGCTAACACCCATTACGTGAACTGTTTCCCTATATTATATGTCCTGGCCTCTTTCCCCCACTTCCTCGTGGATCTCGTCCGGAGATACCAAAGCACTGAGAGTGTCTGATGTCCTATGCGTCCTGTAGAACCAGCTGATGGCGCTGGTATACACATCTCCAAAACGCGATCAAGGTCTTCACCTTCTCCCAGTGGTCCGACTCTACTCCAGGCCTTGTTGACTTGAGCTCGGACAAAAGAGGCATCATGCTGATGATGTGCCGCGCTGTGAACTCGGAATCGTCGATCATAGACCCAGTGACGTCCCACGACTTCAAGGTCAAGCTGCAGGCATCGATGGGCGAGGTATCGCAATCCTGATTGGAAGCAATAGTCGCATTGATGGCGAGTATAAGGTGAGTCAGGAGAGGGCAGTTGCGGATCAAGTGACCGACACCGCGCAGTGTCATATTCTGGGGTTCGTCTCGATGCATAGGGCGACCCTGGAGGCAGAGGTGCTCGAGAAAAGGGAAAGATATCGCGGCTAGTTGATCGTCGGTGAAAAGGGTGATATTGAAGGTCAAAGATAGACCGGTAAGCTTGCGAAATTGCAGAACAAACTGCAATAATTGAGGCCCTGGCTGGTTGCAGTGGAAGAACGTCAGACGTATGTTCCGAATCGCCTCGGGAAGCCGCGTGGTGATAGATGTCAGTATCTTGTCTAGTTCAGGCGCTTGCATGTCACCATAGAGCGTAGCTTTAAAACCTTCAAGGGTCTTCAAGTTCGCGAAGTTTGCCAAGATGCGATCCACATACGGCGGATAACCCTCTAGATTAATCTGCGTGAGCATAGGTAAGGAAATAGGCATGTCTATTTTCACGTCTTCGAGATGGGACGGTCGTCTAATCCAGGACAAGAGCGAGAGATGTTCCAGAGATTGAAGACGTCCTACGGCTGATAGCATGTCCTTCGCGGATACAACCTCGGCGTCGGATATTGCCAGCACAAGCTTTCTTAGATGCTTTAAGCCTCCTACCGCCTCTAGCATTAGTGCAGGCAGGTCGTGGCAAAGCGATGGCCACAAGTCTGGAAGGTAAACCCGCAGCTGTTCAAGGCTTGGACTCCACTGGCTTGCCAGGAGTATGGCAGATAAGAACCTCGGATCGAGTCCTTGGAGGACCAATTCTTTCAAGAGAGGTCCAACGGACAACTTGAGCAGCTGCGGCAGGATCGCTTCTGTAGTTGACGTGGGCGAGCGTATGCAGAGCCTTCGCAGTGCTGGGAAGAGAACCGTGCCGCAGTGGTTGGATACGGCGCCAAGGACATTGGGTTCGATAACGACACTCCCAGCCCCTGTGAGAGTGATACTCCGAACTCGCGCGAGGTACTTGTTCAAAATCTGCCAATCTCTACGCAGCATTATGCGCTGAAAGCACAACGTATCCAGAAATTTTTCATCTCCTGGCTGAGGATTCGGCACTGAGTGACCAATAGCCGATGAAGTGTTGACGCAAGCTTACCGCTGGTTTGCTCTCTATACTCCATAGATCTCGAGGTAGGCACTTGAGAATATGAGATAGACAGCTGATCTCGTAGTACAGCTCGTCCAGAGCTGGTTCACGAAAGGCTTTGCAAATCCTAGCCAGTGCGATCAGTGTCTTGGAGTCCGAATCCGTAGCCACCGACGCGCATATAATCGACGCTATTTCTGCGATTTGGAGACAGGAATGCATGACCGAGCCTTGGGACGGCTGCGACGGAGGGCGAGAGTATAGACGGATTGAAATAGCTGGGGTTATGGGAAGAGGCTGAGAGGTCGTAAAGGTGCACCGCATTAGCCGGTGCATCCGTGACTAGCGCGACGCGTACTATATGCAGCTTCTCCTTCCCTTCCCCAGCGACGTCCTCTGCTCAATCCGACTTTCTTCCTGGCCTCCCCTAGCTCAAATCCCGATTCCCTACTAAGGACGCAACGGAATGTCTCCAGCCGGGCTCTCCTGCCGCTCCTGACATTGTCATGGATTCGCGCGGGCGCAACCGAGCTCGATCTAGCTACGCATGCACTGTTATTGGACGGGTTCGAAGAGATACATGGATATGAAGACCAAGGTTGAGCACATTCAAGGGTGACGGTATAGGAACAGGCTTTACATCAGGTGCGACGTTCAACGTGCCTAAACCTCGTTCGACGTCTCTGACCTGATGTTGCCCTCAGGAATCTCAGACAGTGGCCAGTGCATGCATCGTAGACACCGACCTAGCACTGGGCTCAACCACCTGCCGAAACTCGATTTGGATCTCCCCCATAGCATATCTCATTTCCTCAGCACGACGGCTTGTTCGAAAACGACAGTAGACGACGCTTAGTCCGGGCCAGCGCTTGCGTTGCCAGAAAGTCAGGTCTAGAAGTGTAGGAGGTACAACGACGCATCTCGCTCCATTGATCCTTGTCGACGCTCTGCGGTTGGGACTTGCATTGCATTCGTTGCTCGCAGCTCTGTAATTCAGCCTGCAGTGGCTGGCTTCGTCTGCTCGACGAACAGCTCATTGCTCTACCACGTCTTTCCATTTCCTCTCGACGCTTATGCAATGTCTCGGACGTTCGGCCTCAGTCACCGTACCCTAACCGTTATCGGGTCTCTATTACACCGTAGACGAATATCATTTGATGCGTACTTGAAGGAAACCAAGCTGCACGTTGTTTTGCGTCCGTCTCTGATTTCACCATCACATAGATCGAATATTAATGTTAGTAGACCGGTTGGGCGTGACCTCAGACCTCTCCGTGTTACTTCAAAGTGCCAATTGGCCGTACAACTGCAATAGAGTGACAGTCACAGGTTAGTCGGCGAGTGCAGTACAACCAACACCTCTATCGCCACTGTCATCGCACACCCCTCGAAAACTTCCCATCCTTGATGAGCATTACCCATCATTCGCCTTCACTTGCGGAGTCAAGCTCTAACGACTAGCTACTGCAAAGTAAACATCGCAAGACTCGCGACGGATCACACCAAGAAAAAGAGTTAGATATATACTGAAATTCTAGCGTATATGCATGCTTGTAATTGCGATTCCGTACAACAAGACGTGACTAGGCGTAAGATACATCTAGCAGTCGCGTGGTAGCGGAGGGTATCAATGATAACAATGATGGACGTGCGCACGAGATATCACCGTGGTCAACAGATAATAGCGAGATGAGTAGGTAAGGGGACAACCAACGACTGCCAACGGACTGCAGATGAACATCTAAGGGAAACGATTAGGATACGATTGAAACAAAAGACGCAACAGAGACGTACGAAGAAAACGTCCGCTTAGTGGCTGACGTTCAGAGCCGAGACGTCGGCATCGTTGAGGACGTTTTCAACTGTGGCAGTGAGGTTATCACCAGCGGAAACACCACCGCGCTTGCTGACGTTGCCAATCTTGGCAGTGAGGTCGTTGAGAACGTCCTTAACCTCGACGGTGGGATCGTCCAGGACCGAGACGTCGCCGGCTCCGCCGCGCTTGTCGACGTTGAGAGCGGAGATGTTCAGGTTGTTGAGGATGCCCGCAATCTTGACGAGGGCGTTGTTGAGGACGGAGACCGAGGGCTCACCGCGCTTGTTAACGTTGAGGGCTTCGAGGTCAAGGTTGTTGAGGATGTCGCAGATCGCAACAAGGGCATTGTTGAGGACAGAGACCGAAGGCTCGCCGCGCTTGCCGACGTTGAGTGCGGAAATGTCGAGGTTGTTCAGGATGTCCTTGATTGAAACAAGAGCATCGTTGAGGATGGAGACCGAAGGCTCGCCGCCGCGCTTGCCACCGACATTGAGAGCCTTGATCTGGGCAGCGTCGGCGACATCCTTGACCTCAGCCGTGAGGTCATCGACGGCGGAGACACCGCGTCCAGCAACGCCGAGAATGCCCGCGTAACCGTCTTGAAGGACGGGGTCAATCACGGCCGTGGGGCCATCGGCCACAGAGACGCCACCGCGCTTGGCAGAGTTGAGGAGGGCGAGGTCAACATCGTTTAGTGTAGGGTCAACTCCGCCGGTGAGACTGTTGACAGCGGAGACACCACCACGCTTGCTTACGTTGCCAACCTTGCCAGTAAGATCGTTGGCGACGTCCGTGACCTTGACGGTGGCGTTATCGAGAAGGGAGACGGAGCCGTCTTCGTCGTGGCGGCGGTGGTTAACATTGCCAACCTCGGCAGTCAGGTCGTTGGCGACGTCCGTGACCTTAACGGTGGCATCGTTGAGAATGGACAGGCCACCGTCACGCTTTTCAACGTTCAGAGCTGAGACGTCGAGGTCATTGCCGACGTCGGTGATCTTAGCAGTGAGGTCGTCGAGGCCGGAGACGGAGCCGTCGTGGCGGCGGTGGACGTTGCCGACGCTGGCAGTCAGGTCATTGGCGACGTCCGAGACGACAACAGTGGGTTTGTCAAGAGCAGAAACGGAAGCACCCTACAACACTGTCAGAACGTGTGTACATCAAGGATTCGACGCGTGATACGTACGTGGGGGGTGGGGAGGGCCACAGCAGCGGCGATGAAGAGGGCGAGGATAGCAAAAGAGCGCATTGTGTAAAGAGAGTGTGGGGACGGTAAACGTCGAAGAGAAGGAGAAGCTGGTGAGGCTGAGAGAGGGCGGTGAACGCGAAGAAAAAGGCGACGAAAGTAGTCGATGGAAGAGAAACCTGCGCAGGTCTTCGTGAGTTTATAAACGCCCGCCCGTCCCTCCGCGAAAACAAGCACAAACCTCAGGGGAGATCACGCAAAAAGTCAGGCGTGTGTGCATTCAAAGGGTCGCCCGATTTGAGCAGGGGGGTTGCATGGAGGTGGTAGGACAGGAATGGGCATACGCTGCCGGCATGATGCCCCCTTTTGGTTCTTCCATCCCTTGGCAGGAGATCAGATCGAAGGTGGTGTTGTATGGCGCAAATTGGCGCTCGTCCTCGTGCATATACTTACTACCGCTGACCAACAGAGCCTTTACATGGCATCAAGGGCAGTCCTCGCCCATTCCTCATGTTTCCTTCGTCAGAGTCGAGGATGACGGTCTGCTAGCTGAACATGGCAAGGATAGGGGAGAAGAGTAGAGTCGATGTCCTCGTTTCCTCGATCCTAAACGGTGGTTGTTAGGTTGGGGACATCATAATGAAAGAGAAGTTTTCAGCCCGCCCACAGGTCCGTGGAAGGAAAGATACGGACAAACATAACTGCCGCCGAGACCCAGAGTCAGGAAGCGGGACGTCGCATAAGAAGATCGTTCCGGGCAGTGCGGCGAGAGCGTCGATTGCGCGTCGATGGATCGTCGAAGGCTGCATGAAGACCGAGGAGGTCTAAAATTCTCACCTCTACGTGCCGAACACACTGGAATAGGCAACTCAATCAGCTCACAACGTCCCTTGACTCTCACCTTGGCCTGTAGCACTCGCCATTGCAGCAACTGGAAGATTCCTGGACAACCTCCAGGCTGTGGTGTAGCTCCATGCCGAGGACCAACAAAAGACAAAGATGACCAGAAAATGACGTTGTGATCGAGATCCCGTCAAGGCATAACATTGTGGCCGCGCCGTGGGTTTTTCGAGGTTTAGGGCAGGGCGTTACGCGTTCAACCCCTCGGTGGCGTAATACTACGCCCTGAATCGTGCGCCATTCACTCCCAGACGAAAATATCTTATGGAGATGCAATTTCTAGAATGATGGACTGGCCACGCGCGCACCGGCGGACTTGACATTAATCACACCTTTCATCGTACTAACATATGACTCGAAGATAGACGCTCGACAGAAAAGGTGCCTGCTCGCTCTTTGGAAAGTTCGCCGACTGATGCCCGACCTTCACAGACTCCCGAAGAATTTTAACACGAGGTTAAATAGGGTTAAATGCACGTACGAAGTACGATAGAAGGCTGGTGAGCCATCAATCTCACCTATAAGAGTACTTTCGCTGATAAACAGAATGAGTGTTGCCTTAGTGGATGTGAAGACCGTCATCGCCTCGAAATTACATTGATCTGCACCTGCGAATCGTTTCTCGCTCGTTGCCCTTTGTTGAGCGCTAGCGCTGAAATGCACACAGGGAGATTTGCGCAATTCAGTCATCCGACACCATGGCCTGGGACGTCTTAATGACCCACAAACGAGTAGGTGCATACCTTAAAATAATGAACAGCGCTTACGCTGACATTTGCACGGGTGATCCGCAATAGAAGTGCAAACAGGACCAAAAGCACAATCAACCTGACCGCAAGCTGTCGTCTATGGCGAGATCAAGCTCAGGCACGTTCCACACGTGGTCGTCACTCAGAGCAAGGCTTGCTTTATGTTTTATTCTTGGACTTGCTCTGATCGTCATTGGACTACGCTAGTCAAGCCACCACGCTCGTCCAAACCACCGCTCAAGCGGTCGTTCATCACTGCGAGCCCGTTAATTCTGACAAATCCATCTCAGTCAAAAACTAGGTACGCACACGAGATTTTTTGCTTCAGTCGCCGAGGCACCCTTCTGCATGAGGCCCCCAAGAGTATCGGCGCCGTGGATAACGTCGTTGAGCGGTACAGCGCCATTGTTGTTCTATCGCACTGGTCAGTTCCTTCTTATATTCACGCATATATGCTACTGAACTCCTACCTCAGTCATCGCAGGGCTACGCAGCGCATGATTCCCGAGAACACTGGCGGCGGTCACATCATGGAAGACAATCGCAGCATTGTCGTTCTAAGTCCGTATAGCACCGGTGGGCCTGCGTTCGAAAGAACCACTCACTGGGGCTGCTGCAGGGAGCGCAGCGGTGAAGCTGGCTGCCGCGAAGAGCATGATCAGGCTGGCGAAGAAAGGCATTACAGGTCGTGCGATGAAGAACGTGGGCTGGAGCGTTCGTCTGCTCGGTATGTGCATGTGTTGAGCAGAAGTCCGCTGCCTATGTGGGCGTTGAACGTTCCTAATCTTATATGTTTTCTTAGGTTACGCTCTATTCGGCTCCGCAGCTCCGACTAGTGCGTTCTCATTGGCTTCTAACGCCTACTACCAAGTCTTGGCTGTGGTTCTTAGTCCAATGCACTGCTAAGAGATAACATAGGAAGTTGCTTGTCTCGGTGTTAAGTCTTCGCTGTTGTAAATTTGTACGCCATCCTACAGTGTTCTCTAGGCACTCTGCGGTGTTAGAAGATCGCAAGAAGCTTAATGATGCTCAACTTACTCCAATGCTGGGCGGTGAAGGCCTAACGTCTTGCAAAGTTTGTGATTACGTTCATCTAGAGAAGGGGTTCGCTGATGGTATAAATTCACAATGGCCAGAGCAGACATCCTCCATCGACTCCAAGTCGGTTCTTTCGTGCTCGCTCCTTCCTTCAGTGCCCATTCTCTTTCACGTTTTATCATCACCCTTACATTCTTTTAACAATGCGCTCATTCGTTGCCATCGCTCTCTTCATCGCTTCCGTTGTGGCGCTCCCCTTCCCACAAGTGCGTGTCACACGCTAATGTCAAGCTGATACTGACGTCTGTGTAGGGCAGTCCCCTCATCCCCACCATACCCACCGACGAAGTCAAGGAATACGTTCAAGACCTGACCACCGAAGTCGGCACCACCGCCAAGCGCGACAACGACCGCACGTTTTTCGCCCCCTTGTCCGGCGACCTCGACGGCATCTCGCCCCTGCAGCACTTCGGCGACGTCACCATCGACCCCGACCTCGACCACCCTACCTTCGGCAAGCGCTCCAGCGGCGACAGCCAGAACGGCGAAGTCATAGCGCCCCTCTCGGGCGACCTCGACGGCATCTCGCCTCTCCAAAACTTTGGCGACATCGACATCAGCCCGGACCTCGACCACCCCACCTTCGGCGGCTCGGGCAAGAAGGGCAGCGGCGGTATCCTCAGGCGCGACAGCGGCGACGGCGACGGCGAGACCAACGCGTCTGGAGATGGCGTCCTCGATGGCATGTCACCCCTCCAGAACTTCGGAGAGGTCGACATCAGCCCGGACCTCGACCACCCCACCTTCGGCGGGTCAGGGAAAGGCGGCAGCCTCCTCAGGCGCGATAGCGGGGAGACCAGCGCGCCCGGGGCCGGCGACCTCGACGGCATCTCTCCCCTCCAAAACTTCGGTGAGCTCGAGGTCGGCCCCGACCTCGACCACCCCACGTTCGGCAAGCGTGCTGGTGGCAGTGGCGTCGGCGATGGCGCTGACGGTGGTGCTAAGACCCCTGATGGTGGCATTCTCGATGGTATCTCGCCCTTGCAGAACTTTGGCGAGGTTACTGTCTCTCCCGACCTTGACCATCCTACGTTCGGGGACTTGAAGCGCGACGTTAGCCCCGTCCCCGTTCAGGCTGACGACGTCACTGCCATCGTCAACGGCGTTGAGGATTATGACCTCGACTAGGTGTCTTCATCGTGTCGTAAGTCTACCTTACCCTCTTACTGCATTGTGTGCTCACTCCTTCTCTAACAGACGCCGACGCTCAAGCCAAACGTATTAGCAGTAGCAAGTCGCCCTTTCCCTCGTTTTCGGTTTATTAGTTTTTAAAAAGTTGAATATCTGGGCCCACTGTTTGCGTCACTTCGTGTGCTATCTCTGATATTGTCCGCTACCATACGACTGCTAGATGTAAGTTACGCCTAGATACGTCCTGTTGTACGGAACCTGCAAGCATGTATCTACTCAAAGTTCTCAAGCTAGAATCTCATTGTGTTTTGTAAACCTAGTGTTCACAATTGTTCCTCACGACATAAGAGTCGGTCGACTTTCCTTGTGAACATCACTCATAGAATCAGCGAAGTACTGTAGTATTTGCATTCTAGGTACCGCAACAAACCTCGATTAGATAGGAGTCAGAATCCTGCGAGAACAGTGAATTCCATCACTGCCACCTTCACGTCTCCGTGCCGCAAACAGCCACCACTACATGTGTTTATCCTCCGGCTCAGCTTGCAGAACGCCCAAGCGGCCCCGTTCTCGTAAGTGACATTAATATACATACCCGTTTGACATGTCTGGGCACACGACAGTTTCTGCCATCATGATGATCAGTGTATCGGAACGTGCAGAGGCGCTGACGCGTCCGCCGTTTCTACCGACAATCGCCGAGACCTCCCACGTCGTAAAAGTTCACGAGATGCTTATCGCCGGCGCCCAACGTCTCAGCATGAGCCGCCGACGTCGAGCTGGATGCGTCTCGTCAAGTACGCGTCGTATTCACAACGTCGAAGAGATCGCGTCTCGGAGTCAACGTTAGCAGCAGCGGCAGAAATACTCGCCTTCAGTACCAGTACTGAGTCCTGCTCGACGACGACCCCCCACCACTGGCGCAACGAACATTGTGGAGCCAGTAGAAGCATCAAGAGAAGCACTAAAGTCTTCTTGTTGCCTTGTCGTGCTCATGTTCTTGGAGCACGGAAGAAGACAAAGCGAAGGGCCAATCGAGACGCGCCGTCCCACGCGCGAAATCTACTGAATTCAGTCGAGCTTCGAGCTAAAACAATCCGCTTCAAAAATGTTGAGAAGGTTGCTTGAAGACCCATCTTTTTCTCCTTGCGCAGAAGTTCTGCCACACATGAACTGGGCGGCGCCGCCCTTCCACTTTCATGAGCTCGCTTGTTGTTCACGGCCACCGCCGCCGCGAGAGCATTCTCCCGTTAATGATCGATGATCGCTGATTGGTGGCTTTTCAAGCTTCAGCTTCAGGGTCCGTTAAATGAGTTTGGCAGTTCCCCGTTTGAATGCTCGGTGAACGCCGTCACTTTAGGGCAAGTCAACACACGTTGAGTTATGAAAAGGGCTGACGTTTGACGGAACAAAGGCCCCCGCGGAACCTTATCACCTCCGACCCTCCTGTCTTTAGGGCCCTGCATGAGCTTAACGGTTAGACGGGAAGGGGAGTGCAGATCAGGGAAAATATGTTTTACGTCCAAACTCAATGCGAAGGCACCTACCGTTCTCCTCCGTGAAAGACAAAGAAAAAATCACCCGGAGCATGAGATTAGAAACGTGACTGCATAAAAAAAGCCTATGACGTAGCTATACTACGAACGTAAGCGTACGTAGCGGACTAATGCGGATCACCATGGGCAATATGTACTATGAGCTATAGGTTATGAGGGTATAAACCGTGTAATCCAAAAGAAATGCGAAAACGTGCACCGCGCCAGATACCTGCGCGACGGAACAGTCAGAATAGATTGAATATGTTGAACGCAAGGACACTCACCAGCTTAGTTGACGTTAAGAGCGTTCACCTTAGCGTCGTTGCCAATGTCACTGGCGTGAGCCGTAAGGTTGTCGAGGATGGAAAGGTCACCCGTGCGACGGTGGTTGACGTTGAGGGCCTTCACGTCAGCGTCGTTGGCAACGTTCTCGACGTCAGCGCTGAGGCCGTTAGCGGCAGAGACGTCACCGGTACGACGGTGGTGGACGTTGGCCGCATCGACCGTGGCGTCGTTGCCAACGTTCTTGACACCAGCGTTGAGGTTGTCGAGGACGGAGACATCGCCAGTGCGCTTGTTGACGTTCAGCGCGCTGAGGTCGAGGCCGTTGAGCAGGTTCTCGAGCATAACCGTCGGGTCGTTCGCAGCGGAGACGTCACCATCACGGCGGTTGACGTTCGCAACATCGAGCTTGAGCTTGTTGAGGAGGTCCTGGAGGATGACCGTCGGATCGTTCGCAGCAGAGACATCACCGTCACGGCGGTTGACGTTGAGGGCAGAGACGTCAGCGCCATTGCCGACGTTCTTGACCACGGCATTGGCATTGTCGCCAACCGAGACGTCACCGGTGCGGCGGTGGTGGACATTGGCAGCAGAGACGTCAGCACCATTGCCGACGTTCTTGACACCAGCAGTGAGCCCGTCGAGGATGGAGAGATCACCAGTACGACGGTTGACGTTCAACGCGCTGATATCTGCGCCGTTGCCGATGTTGCTGAGACCGGCGGTGAGGTTATCGAGAGCGGAGACGTCGCCGGTACGGCGGTGGTGAACATTGGCAGCCGAGACCTTGGCGTTGTTGAGCAAGTCGCTGGCCTTGACATTGGCGTTGTTGCCAGCGGAGACCTTGCCGTGGTGGCGGCGGTGGTTGACGTTGGCCGCGTTGACGTTGGCGCCGTTGCCGACGTTCTTGACAACAGCAGTGAGGTCGTCTGCGGCCGAGATGTCGCCCGTGCGGGCGTGGTTGACGTTCAAGGCAGAGACATCCGCGTTGTTGCCAACGTTGTGGGCGTTGACGCTGGCGTTGTTACCAGCGCTGACGTCACCCTGTGACAGAGAAATAAAATCTGGTCAGACGGATACGATCAAAGGGAGTAGTAAAACGACGAACGACGTGAGGCATGGGCATCGCGCTAACAAAGCCAGAGACAGCAAGGAAGAGAGCGAGGGACACGAAAGAACGCATTATGGATAGTAACGGTTAGGTAGCGGGAGCGAAGGTGTTTATGAAAAGACAGTGGGTGGGACGACTGAGAACAGAGAGTGAGAGGAGCGACGAGAAGAGGGTGGGTCGAACGGTGGGTGAAGAAAGAGAGCCCAGCTGGAGACCTCCCAGGTTTTTATATGTCTCTCCAAGCTCGCTAAAGCAAATAACATGCTGGCCGCGACCCTTGGAGATTTTGTGTAAATCGCCGTTGGGCGACGCGAGAGAAGGCGTGAACATACCAAGGTTGAAATGTGACGGGATCGGCACGACCACTGCCGTGTCCGGTATGTCGGGGCTGCAGCCTTTGGGCCGCTTTATTTGTCAAAAGAAGCTGCATGCGTTTCCAATACGGACTCACCGCCGATTATCGACGCGTCAGGGCGGGTCGTTACCCTCGGGCAACATACCGGAGCATCCTTTGTAGTTTCCGCGACTTACCGTTAAGTCACTCAAAGGGTTCTCCCTGTAAACCAATGGAGACAAACGTGAGCAGAAGATAAGATGTCTAGGAGAACAGAGTGGCACGGGAAATTTCTTACCCCTTCTCTAACGACTTCGCGAAACTTCCGGGGCTACGCATTGCGCAATTTGAAAACCTGCAGCAGGCGGTCGCAGCCCTCTCGCTTCTTCGTCCCGGAGCTGCGCCAAGCCAATCGTAGCACTTACCCCCTCTTCCTCTTCACCGGAGATATCTGCCCGGAATCACATATCGTGACATACGTAAGATGTTGCTCTTCATTGCAGCGAAAGCTTTCCGTGCAGATTTTATGCAGCACCGATAGTACATCTCGATATTTCACGACGAGTATGACACTCATGCATTACATCTTATCTTACAGCGTCTCTTGAAACATTGACATCAGCACGCGAACAAAAGCTCAAAAAAGGTGGTCGAACACTCACAAAAACCACTCTAAACGAATCACTCCGTATCAAAAACCAACGCCCTAACCTCAATCGACTGCCGCTCAGGCGCATCCGCAGGGCTACTCGCGTCCTTGAAAGCAGCATGCGGCGCCACTCGCGCAGCGACGTCGCCTTCAGTGCCATCGGCAGAGTCGAAGCACTTGAATATCACAACCTCGTCGACGGTTTGGTCTGCTAGATAGTACCACCGGTGCGCCGCGTTGTGTCGCACGTAGTAGATGCTCCCAATCTTGCCGTGGGGGAGGATGAAGCGCACGGGGAGGAGGTCCTTTGATACGTCGAACGACGTGAAGTCTGCGACTGCGAGAGGGGTGTGCGCGACCGTGTTCTCGATGGGCCTGCGTGAGTATCCGAACTCGTCAGAGATGTACACGTGTTATAGAATGGACGTAACGGCTTGCCTCCAGACGTTAATGATGCGGAAGCGTCCTTTCAGGAGGTGTTCAGCATCGTCGCCCATATGGTCGCGTACGCGCTGGATCGCAGCCTCGGTGGTCTGATCGATGTGAACGGAAGTCTGCGAGGGGAAGGCTGGCATTCAGCTCTATCCCTTTCGTGAAACCGAGGGTGCTTACAATGGGCGCGTTATATGTGCTCTTCCCCCCGCCCTCGTGCTTAGGGGTCCGTCTACATGCACAAAAGGAACGTCATTTAACGTGTTGGCACGCAACAAAAGGGTGAAGCGTACCTGATAGTATGGTCGAATATAAACACCCTCTTTGCGCCCGTTTGGGCCTTCAGGAGCTCCTCGATCTCCTGGTAGTAAGCACCTTTGATCGTGCTGTCCTCCGCGAACAGCTTCTCTTGGCTGACGTGGTGAGCGTATTGAAAACCTTTCTTGTCGAGCCCACCGAACGCGTCTTCGCTGCCGCGAACATCGCGAACAACAACGGCATATGGTTCGGAGGTTATATTCGTCCCAGGGACGCCCTCGGGCGGTACCCCAGTGTATATGTAGGGCCCCTCGCTGTCAGTGGTGGAGGCGTAGTATTGCAGAGTGGTGGGGACATCGCGGCGCGAAGTAGTTTCGATGGTCATGGTGAAGGTCTATACGAGTGGTTTTGCGTGTTAGCTAGATTAAATGAGCTAGAAGTGAAGGATAGTGTCGTATACTACCTTGCTTTTATAACCATTCCTACTCCTTCGACTATCATTTATGTTTGTTGATTCTCTTGTCAGACCACGTGCCTCGGCCATGATGAGGTGAGCGTGGATGCAATGCCGACCCCAGGATTGATGATCACCGAGGAGCCCGGGCACGCCCTCGACAGTCCAATTTAAAGGCCTGGAGTAGAACTGAAATATCTGTCTGACCAATCTAGTGCCAACAACGCCTTCAACCGCCATAAGCACCTCATTGACCATAGCTTTGGCGAGCTTGATACCGACCCGTACATGTTTTAGCGTCTCTCTGGTAAAGACGGTAAGTCAGGAATAGGATGGAGGAAATCACTTGCATACGAGGTACATCAAATGTCAACGACAATAGGGCTGTTGCGCTTCTCGTCCCTCAACCCTCCAATAACCGCCGCATTGACGAGTACCGTACTCATCCCGTCACTGTCCGCCTCCAAGCGTCTGAATCGACCTCGAATTGCCTGCACACAGGCGTGAAACAGAAGTCGCGCCAAAGTCCACCAGCTGCCACGTATGCACACAGCCTCGTATAAGCGCTGGACTTTGGTCCAGCCAAGCGCCTCAGTCCCTCGGGCAGCGTGTATATGCCCGAAGACGTGTATTTTTGGTCTGACCCTCCAAAGCATATCAAGTAAGCCGATGCAGCCCGACCCTCTCAGGTCGAGATGGTAAGCAGGTGGACCGTGAGTGATCAGGATATCCGTGTCTAGTGGGATCGACTTCCACGGCTCAGCCGGCAAGTCTGCTTGAGGTGTAAGCCTGGGATATTGGAATGGCCAGGACCCTTGTCGAGGGGTGAGAGGGCTTCCGTATACTCGAAGTGTGCGACCGCGGACTTCGATGGACGTAGAAAAGTCCTGAAGGTATGTCAAGGATGGATACTCAGCTTGGACAGCCGCATAGAAGTGAGGATCAGCGAGAGCCTTGTCGTGGTTCCCCGCGATGAAGAGTTTGTGGGCATGTGGGAGCCGGGACATCCAGCCTAACGCTTCTCGGGTTTCATTCTCCGAACCGGAGACGGTGAGGTCTCCTGCGTGGACAAACACATCGCCAGGCGGAACATCGAGCTCGGCTTGGACGTTGTGGGTGTCTGACACGCATATGATGTGGATAGGGTCCTTGACGGCTGTACTTGGTGCAAAGCGGGGTGTGGAGGACGTGTACAAAATTTCGGCAAGGTATAGAGATGGACTGTCGCAGAAACGTTCCCATCGCGTTGGAGGGCGTCTGTTCAGCAGGGCGTCGAGACCGTTCATCACGAAGAGGGCGAGGTTTTGGTGGCGACTCGCGAGATTGCTCCCGGTTCCAGGACTGCGTGGCTGTGCGCGGGTCTCCGCCCTGTCGCATCGCCATTCTTTCTCTCTTGTCCAGGACTGTAAACTCCGAGTATCGAGGTCACCCGCATGCTCTCTAATCTTCTCTAATCCGCACGGTTGCTTCGCTTTTCCTGACCAACAATTCACCTCAGCACCCACAGGCCGGGACTAGCTTGACGTTGGACTCTTGACGTCGTTAGCACCAGTGTCCGCCCAAAGACTGATATGCTAGGTCACCTACTGAAGTCTGAGGGTGTTTACGTTCGGCTCACTCAGCTGATCATGTCGACGACATAAGCGCCCGTTGCACACCCCGCAGTCTGCACCGCCGTACCAAGGGGTGCAATCCTGACATGGATGAGCTAGATGACAGCCGGGATCTTTTGTGGCGGTACTTAACAGTGGACTTGTCGTCTCGAATTAGCAGCATTATCCATCCCCACTGTCTTCCTCGACTGGCCAGGCTACTAGTATCATGGCTTCTAAAAACCCTCGTCTAAGCGAGCTCGCTGCCCAAATTGCTGAACAGGCCGTTATACTGGAAAAGTTCCTTGACGACAATAACCTCCCGCAGCCGTCCTTTGGCGTTCAGGGCCCCGCTGCTTTCCCTGTCGGAGCTGATCAAAAGGCAGCCAACGACGCCCGTTTCTCCCTCATTGGCGCCACCAAGGATCTTCGTGGTCTGGTCGTGGGCCCTGCTGACACTCTGAAATGGCTTGTCCTCTGCGTGAGCTTCCCTCCGCTTTGCATAGAGTGATCGGGAAGGACTCTGCTAACGCGGCGCTTTCACACAGGACCATAACGTTACCGCTGCTCTTCAAGCGGTATACCACTTCAAGATCGCCCAGTCCGTTCCGCTGGACGGAAGCCCGATCTCCATCGCAGATCTGAGCAGGGCTGTTTCCCTCGACGAGCTCAACCTCGCACGCGTCGTGCGCATGGTCATGAGCGAGCGCATCTTTGTCGAGCCCAGGCAGGGCTACGTCGCGCACATGGCGGCGTCCCTCCTTCTCGCGCAGGACAGGGGCATGCAGGCGATCGTGGGGCACATGTGCTCTGAGTCGTTCCCGAGCGCGGCGAGGATGGGCGAGTGCTTGGAGACGTATAGAGGGTCGGAGGAGCCGCAGCATTCGGCGTTTATGATGGTGTTCGGGAGCCGTTCTTTGAGTATAAGATGCGGAACACGCAGAGTCTGGAGAGGTTTGGGTAGTGTATGGGGAGCTGGGCGGCAGGCGGAGGTGAGGAGCATATAGTTTCAGGTAATGAGTGGAAGGACCTTGGACAGGCGGTGGTGGTCGACGTGAGTATTGTCTGCACTTCTTGCGTCACCCCTTTGACGCATCGGCTTGATATAGGTGGGCGGCTCTCTTGGTCACGTCTCCCTAGCTCTTGCATCTGCATACCCCAACCTGCGGTGCATAGTCCAAGATCTTCCCTTCAACACCGCTGCAAACGACCTCATCGCCTCCCAGAACAAATCACGTCAAGTGACCTTTCAGCCTCACGACTTCTTCAATCCTCAGCCCGTTCTTCCCGCCGAAACCATGACCTCCGTGTCAACAGCCGTCTATCTCATGCGCTACATCCTGCACGACTGGTCCGACACCTACGCCCGCAAGATCCTGGCTCACGTCCGCGACGCCATGGCGTCCGCCACACGCGACAGGAAAAACGCATACCTCGTCATCGCGGACGCTGTGCTCCCGCCTCCGCTCAGCGGGATCCCGGCTGCCCAGGAGCGCACGCTGAGAGCGTTCAACGTGAGCATGTTTGCGCAGCTGAACGCGTGCAAGCGGGATACGTCGGCGTGGGGGGCGCTCTTCAGGAGCGTGGATGGGCGGTTTGTGATCGAGAGCATACGGCCCCCGTCGCCGGGGAGCTCTTGATCGATACTGGTGGTGAAGCTGGATGTGTAGAATGAGGGGCTTAATAGACACGTCCAAGATACATAGGTGATGTAAATAGTTTGTCTACGGTTCAGCTACAGCCCCATGAACTGAAGCGTCAGTTCGTAGCTATGGTGTTAGGAATAATACTATTTTGAGGACAGAATCCTGCCTAATACTTGCGGGAGGGTTGGTCTGACACATGACAAGCTATTGTCTTACATACGGACGCCACACCGAGAATCTGTCAAGATACATACTTGCGCCCACAATGCCACAGCGTCTAGAGATTATGAGGAAATTCGTGAGTCGAACAACACACCCGGGACAATATCCACCACCGCTCTCGCTAACGGTAGCGCCCAAGTCAGGGGAGCATCCCGGGTTATAGGATCATGCTTTCGTGTGCTCATCGACGTTCGCCACATGCTGGTTAGTGACATAGTATTCATCAAGGCATTAGAGGTACTTAGAAATGACACGGATTAGGACGCCTCAAGAGTACTTCCACTATGATTCGGACGCCATACTATCATGCTGAAGAATCGTATAAAATGGCTTCTAGGGCGTTAGCGAGGGCCTATCGAAAATCTCGAGTTCAAGTCCAAGTCCAAGTCCCAGTTCCAGTTCAAATCCCCAATGAAAAACCAAAGCAAAGCAAATGTCTCCAGCCTCAGCCGACAGACCCATCCGGAGCCAACTGAAGTGAGCAACCGGTTTCAGCGACCTGCGAGGCCGTCCTCTCCCAAGAGTGGAGTCCTAACAGCCGTCTTGATTCGCAGACGCCCTACGTGTGCAATGCCGACCACTCGAAGCACTGGGTAGCCGTGACCGCGGATACTTACGGTAGAGCAAGGGGGGATACCAGCAACAACGAGGGCAGTACGCTGTATTATAGGTGCAAGAACCGACAATGCAACTGGACGCACATTCCTGGGTACGAGTACTCGAGGGGACACTCGTAGGTCGTCTGTGCTGGGGCGATGTTTCTGAGTCTGTGTAATTTATGGTGGAAGAATGATGATGATGATGATTTGTGAAAGCCATCTGAGTGCGAGTATATCCCAGATGTTCCACGAGATGATCGACATAAGATTAAGGAAAGGAAAGGACCTTCGTTGAACTCTCTCTGCCTTTCGTTATTTGAAACTTGTAGAGAAATGAACGCACGCTTTTCGTTCGCAAAAACAAGCAGGGAGTTGCTGCTTGCCTGCTCGAACACTGGAAGAACAGAAGTGACAGTATGTGAGCCGCTAATTTATAGTAGGCACCATAGCGATCAAGCCAGCGTTCAAGTTGTTGTTGAAGACGAATATACGGCAAGTTACTTGACGAGCGACAGTGACGATGAACCTTTTTCATTCTGCTGATGCTTACCTGCTGCAAAGAATCTGAGCATCATTGTCGAGCTGGTGAATCTGGCATCGCGCTGAGCTGCGGAGTTCGAACACGTGTGCTGATTGACGCGCCGTGGATGTGACGTTGTGCTAGTTACAGAAAGACCCTACAAGTTGAACATGCCCAACGTTGTATGTGCAAAGTTTAGTCGAGGCCATGTACACGATGCAGGGAGCGGTGCAGCGACGTATACGGGGGTTTGTATGTGAATCTGATTAGATGGGGAAGTGAGGCTGGATCTGGCCCGAAGGTCGGCGCACGATGTCATGCAGCCCCCGCGACGTAATGGCACGCCGCCTGCAGGCCTTTTGTCTGCACCACCGCCTCAAGGTCCCCGTCCATTCTTCCCTCGAGCACAAACTTGGTGTACAAACATCCCAGTGGGTTAATCGGTAGCCTGCCCCATTTCCAGTCTCGTCTTTGTTCTTTGGCTGACAACCTCTCCTTGTTCCCAGCTCTCTAGATCGCTTCACTCGCATTCACGCCTTCATTTCGCGAAAACAAGGCGGTGATAATGCCAGGAGGTCTCGGACACTCCCGGACGATGCATATTAGCATCTCCGGCGCGACGGCGCGTCCCATTCACAGGCCGCCCGCACCGGTATGGGCACAACGTGTATCAGTTGTGCAAACTCGTGCCCTCCCCGGAGCTTGTATACGCGCCTCGCAGACTCAACGCACGTCGGTGGCCATGCTCATTCCGTACGCGTACTTCAACGTTTCCTCCTGTCTCCTCTCGTTCTCATTCCATCTCTTTGTCGCATCTCTACGTCCCCCTTGCCTCGCTTAACACACTTCCTCCTACTCTTACGTCCTCATCACATCCCTACGCCCTTCATCCATCACCAAGACCGTACCTAGAGCCTATAGTAATGCCCAGCACGAGACGTTCCAAGAACAAGACAAATACAAACTCGCGTCGCGGCGGCCCATTCCATTTTCTGTTCCGCTCAAACCTCCCCCACCGTCGGCAGTCAGCCCACAACCCGGACGTCGGCCGGCGCAACTTCTTTGGCATGAGCGAGATTTTCAGCGTTGTATTAAACGTAAGTTCATCATACACGCCGCATCTCTGCACCCTATCTTTCCCTCTTGCCTGTGCTCGTGCTCACTAACCACGCTGCGCGCGCATGACAGCCCTCCGAGACCGTGCGCTCGCTGACCGAGTCAAAACGGCTTCTTGAAGAAGCCCGGCAAGAGATCAACGAGCAGCGGGAGCGCAAGCAGCTCCGCACGAAGCACACGTTCTCGCCACTCCCCGGCTTCTTCCCGCGCGAAGCCGAGACAAAGGCGCTCGAGCGCGCACTCGAGGGCGAGCCCTCGTTCACGGTGCTCTTTGGCGCCAGCTCTGTCGGCAAGGTGCGTCCCTTGTTCTGCTCCGTGTCTCTAGGCCATCAGCTCACGCTGGCACCCGACGATAGACCGCACTCCTCCGCGAGGTCCTCACCCGCGACAAGTACCACGTGCTCCACTTTGACCTGCGCATACCCGGCTTCGCGGACATATCGAGTCTGTACATCAGCCTCAGCCAGCAGATGGAGCAGTACTTTGAGGACATCTCCCAGCAGATGCCGGGGTACCAGGAGTTCGAGAAGGAGGCGTGGAGCTTCAAGGTGGATATTTAATCTCGTTCCTGCAAATGTGATCGTGCTGACGAGACAAATGTGTAGCACGACCGGCTGAACGTCGAGCGCCGGCTCGCGGACGCCCAGCCCGGCAGCGCGGCCGCTACGATACGGACGAGCGACATCGCGCGTCTGATGGAGCTCTTCCAGGTGCGTCCTCTTCTCCGTACCTCCCGTTGTCAAAGCTGACCACCGCGTTGCAGAGCTCCCTCCTCAAATACTGGGAATTCGAGCCCGCCGAGGAATCGTGGAACCCCGAAGCATCCCAGAAGAACAAGACCAAGAACAAGGATCATAACAGACAAGCATCATCCGGCGCGGATACCGCCTCGGATCTCACGCGCGTCGTCGAGCCGCAGCGCAAGAAGAAGCCCAAACGAAGGTGGTTCTTCCAGCGCCGCGCCGGCGGCCGCGAGCGCGAGCGCGAGCGGAGCGGAGACGAGACGGGCGGGTCGACGGTGCATGTGCACGAGAATCTGAACGGGTACGCGCGCCATGATGCGCCCGGGGGCGGGCGGGATGTGCGTGAGAAGCATGAGGAGGAGGGGCCGCCGAGCCCGCCGAAGAAGAAGATGCCGGTGATGTTTTTCGATGAGGCGCATAAGCTGTGTGTTGCTCTCCTTCCCTCGAACCCCGCTGTCTTTATGCTAATGCGTTGGCTGTTGGGATTTGCAGGCCAGCACTGATCCAGAGCACGGACGCGATGCGGTGTTTGCTGGACTCGATGCTCGTGCTCACGAAGCAGGACCGGCTGTGCCATGTTATCCATGCGACGAGCGATCCGTTCTACCAGACGTGGCTGAGGAAGCTGAATGTCATGCAGCACTGCAAGGTTGGTCTTGCCTCTCTCTAGCCCCTATCGCCCCATTACCAAGCTCATTGTCTTGGCTCCATTAGATCCTTACCATCGGAGATTGCACAAAGGTCGAAACACGGACGTTCTTCTTTGAGCGGCTGGTGCCCCGTGTTCCGGAAGAATTGCGACCTGGGCTCTCGTTTGAGATCCTGTGGGACGCGTTCGGTGGGAAGTTGGCGCATTGGCAGGACTTTATCAACGACTATGGTATGGTGTCTGTCCTCGCACATTCGCCGCTCTTTTTGACGTAGTTTCCCCCCTCTTTAGTCAACGCTGGCGGTCGCTTTGACAGTACGTTGCCCTCTCCCGCTTCATCTACGCACCCTTTTCTCACACTCTTCTCCCACTTTTCAGTCCGCCAATCCTCCCACTTCCTCCAAGCACACGCCATCCTCAACCTACACATCATCCATTCCTCGCAATGCGGCCCACAAGCATCTAATGGTGCATCATCGGACGCGCGCGACCGGCGCATCAGCACCACGCAGCAGCAGGCGCGCCCGCGCTCGAGCGGGCCCGAGGCTCTGCACCCGGGGCTCGGGCCCGCGGGGTTCAAGATCTACAGCCCACTCAGCAACCCCAATGCCACGGCGCACAACAACGGCAACAACGCGGACACGATGGTGAACGGATCGCTGACGAGCGAGGCGCAGGCGGCCGAGTTCAGCGCGATGCAGCTGCTCAAGGTGATGTCGAAGCTGTCCGAGCCGGGGACGGGGCACCTGCCGTATTTCCTGCTGTGCCGCGAGATCGGGGTGCGCGCGGTGGACGGGATGGTTAAAGGGCGGGTGTTGGATCTGCATTGGACGGATACGGTCGCGAGGGGACACGGGGCGGCGGGCAGGGGCGGGAGGAGTACAAGGGCGCCGACGATTCAGCAGCATGTGCCGATGCAGCCTGCGGGGATGCATTCGTCGCAGACGATTACGCCCGTCGGCGGCGCCCTGGGGCAGAGCCAGGGGATGGGACTGGGAATGGGACTGGGGCTGAGGCTGGGACAGGGCCAGGACTCGGCACCGGGCTCGCCCATCTCGCCGACGTCCCCGCCCCTGTCGCCACAGATGCTCGCGAGCCAGCCGTCGGGCGGGACGGTGTCCGAGGACGGCGAGATGATCGCGGTACCGCCGAACCCGCTCACGGTGTCACATTCGCGCTCGTTCGGGCAGTCGATGGGCGCCGGCGCGCAGAGCGCGATGGACCAGATCGACGAGGAGGATGAGGAGCCCGAGGTGCTTGGGCCGCGGCTGACGCCGATCACGCCGATTATGGCGTTTGCGATGCGCGAGGTCGTACAGGAGTACGAGGACACGGGGAGTATGTCGGATTATGCGTCGCTTTCGGATGTGGATGAGTATTAGATGACGTTTGTCGCCTTTGTGTACGAGAGAGATCGTCGCCCGCTTTGTCTTTTCTTCCTTCTTGTGTCATCTTTCACGCAACGCAATCACGGATATTTATCACATAGTCTCTTCTCATTTGTTTTCTGCATATCACTGTACTATACATCACTCGCTACCCAAAACCTACATAGCCCTAGAACGTCTTTCAGATTTGTGTTTTTACCTGTATTTCTGTTGCTACATCAAGATCTATCGTAATATACGGTCCGTCTTGCGACTCACTCTCGAGTACGAAAGAGCAGGATCGAGCTTCCGTCATTCAACCAGACACTTGTCGAAAATGCAACTTCGTTCCAGATTGCGTGGTCTGAGTAAATGTGTTCATATGTTCTCCCGCTGACGGCTATTCCAGTTCAGCGAACCGAACGTCCGCATTCGCCTCCAGCCATGTTAGCCATTTCTTCAGATACGGCCCTCCGTGTTGAACCGTATCTGAGTCGCCGACGACGCACTAGCAGGGACCGTATCAGCACAGCCAACATTCGCGAAGACACTCGTGGGCATACCAAATGTCGCTTCGCGCGGGTCATCGCGACTGCACCGTTTCATTAGTGACATTGCAGCAACCGACAGTGTCCGTGGATGGCGAGCACGCACCGTTCAGCCGCCGCTTTTCCTTCAAGAACCCTACTTCTCTCTGTGTCACAACGTCAATGATCATCGATTTGGTTAGGAAACAATAATAAAACGAAGCGCACCTTCTCATT